CTAGTAACACTTTAAATGATTGAATAAAAAAACACTATTGCTAGTAAAAAGAGAAGCTACGAAACATATATAACCAAACAAAACTATCCGGTGGCCGTTTCTAGTTCCTCGGCAGAACAGAAGAATGGATTCAAACGATTCATCGTCAGTGAAATGTTTGGCAGCCATTCTAGCGTCTCGGAACCGCTTCGGGGTGCCAAACAGGGGTCCATGTCCCTGCTGCTGGTGACCAAGACCTTACAGCACTACTCCGAATCCAAGTGTAGTGAAAAATCGCTGTAATTTCCTTATTCTTCGTATCAGGTTTTACTTTTACCTATTATCAAAAAAAAAAGTTTTACTTTTACCTGCATAACATAGTGCAGCAGCCACAGACAGCAGCTCTGTTTTGTTTAGCCAGACTAGAAAATTACTAATACGGTGTTATGGACGCGGAAATCAGTTTTTAAATTTGATAACCTAGCTAACTGAAGCATCTGTACAAATTAATACACCACCGATACATTTAACTCTTTAAAGTATGTACTATTATTAAAAATTCATATAAATAGAAATGTGCTAAAAAATCATAGCTTTTGTGGGGTAACAACTTATGCAATCCGTTTATCTTTATTACACCTTAAAATGATTAATTGAAAAAATACAATTGTTTGGAAGCGAGAAATGTTTTAGATTCTAAGGCCCTGTTTGGATTCTCCCCTCTAAACTGTACAACTCTAAACTTTAGAGCTAAAGCTTCAAACCGGTGATCTAAAATTAGTTCTAAACTTTAGTCCACCTCACATTAGAGTTTTAGACATCAAACGTGAGCTAAAGTGCTTTAAAGTTTAAAGACCTCTAAAGTTTAGAGGTAGGGATCCAAATATGCCCTAAGTAGAAGCAATAGAGTTGCTATCAAACGTTATAAAGAGAGAAACATTTCAGAGAAAATCACTTGGAGCTGATTTTTGTTTTTATACTAATCGAGATAAACATCTTCTGATCTAGTTCTAGTTTTAATAATTTAGCAAGCTAGCCAAAGGGTTCTATAAAATGATTTTGATTCATCAGATAAATGTTTTAAAAATATTCCAATCCAAAATATTTTTACGAGAACCTAAAACCTATCAACCAAGAGGATTTAAGAAAAGGAATCAGGATGAACTACTCGGTGACCGTTGTGGTTCCGAGGCAGAAAAAGAAGAATCCATTCAACTCGAAGCCTCGCTCCGAGCTGCTAAATAGGTTTGGGTCGTGTTAAGCCATGACTTATCAGTTAACGAATAATATTTTTCTCTCACACTAAATTAGCCAATAGTATTTTAGCCATAGCTTATCAGCCAAACAAGCCCAAATAATATATATATATATATATATATATATATATATATATATATATATATATAAAAGATGTCCCTGCTGCTGGTAACCAAGACTTTAACAGGCTTACAGCTGTATATTAAACAGCGCTACTATTTTACAAGTCTCCGAATCCAATGACAGTGAAAAATAGCTGTAGTTTCCTTGTTTTACGAATCAAGTTTTACTTTTACATGCACATCAATTTCCACCTCTAGAATTTAGTTCCTATCACATCGAATGTTTGACACATGCATAGAGTATTAAACGTAGACTAATTACAAAACTAATTGTACAGATCAAGACTAATTTATGAGATGAATCTATTAAGCCTAATTAGACTTATGTTTAATCTTTCTAATTAGTAACTAAATAGCTGATGTGATATCTATTAAACTTTAGTCCATGAACAAATACCCCTAGAAATCACTATACTACAATGTTCATGTTCATTATTATCAAGCAGTAGATGTGACAGGAGAGAGGGAATCATGCATGGCTGACTGAGATTCACAGAAGAAGGCGTGCCCTCTGCAGACGAACGGTCCGTTCTGCTCGCTGAAAAAATATTATTCGAACTGATTTATTGTGAGAGAAAAATATTATTTTTATTAAAAAAATAAATTAAAAAAAATGGATTATAAGATGGCTGCATCGTTGACCTGGTGGCGATCCCACACCCTGATCCTGCAGTGATGCAGATGCTGGCTGCTGAACAGTGGAATGAATGAATGGACGGATATCATCCAGAGTCATGCATGCATACGACTACGAGCATACGACTACGGGGCTGTTTGGTTCCTTCCCCTTCTTCTAAAATTCTTGTCACATCGAATGTTTGGACACATGTATAGAATATTAAATATAGATTAATTATAAAACTAATTGCACAACTTGCGACTAATTTGCGAGACGAATCTTTTAAGCCTAATTAGTCCATGATTTGACAACGTGGTGCTACAGTAAACATGTGCTAATGATAGATTAATTAGGCTTAAAAAATTCGTCTCGAAAATTAGCCTCCATCTATGTAATTGGTTTTGTAATTAATTTATATTTAATGCTCCTTATTAGCCTCTAAACATTTGATGTGACATAAATTTTAGTAATGACTAAAGAACCAAACACCCCCTACTTCTGATAGACTGTAGATTTGCATCACATGATGGTGATGGTGGTGCCGTGGTGAACTGGAGGTTTTCAGGCTGTCTGTGTGCGTGTGAGTGCGATCGAGGGCAGAGGGAGCTGGGAAGGACAGGACAGGCAGGCGGCGGCATCGTTGGCGGCAGAGCATCCGATGGTGCCCTTGCCCCTTGGCTGCGGCGACACGGAGCCACACCTAAAAATTCAACTGCTACCCTAGTCCCTACCCATCAATCATCTGCTAATTTTGACTGTTCCCCGCCTAATCACGGCCGTCCGCTGTCCTCTTATCTTAGGCCTGGTTTAGTTACAAAAATTTTCACCCTAAACTATCACATCGAATCTTACGGTACATGTATAGAGTATTAAATATAAATGAAAAAAAAATAATTGCACAGTTTGATTGAAAATCGTGAGACGAATGTTTTAAGATAAATTAGTTCATGATTAGCCATAAGTGCTACAGTAACTAACATGCACTAATGATGGATTAATTAGGCTTAATAAATTCGTCTCGCAGTTTCCAGACGAGCTATGTAATTAGTTTTTTTTATTAGTATCCGAAAACCCCTTCCGACATCTCCGAAACATCCGATGTGACATCAAAAATTTTCATTTCGTGAACTAAACACAGCCTTAGTTAGATAGCATGTTCGCTTGATCGTATTTGGCTTATAAGCCATGACTTATCAGTCAGCGAACAGTATTTTTCTCTCACATCAAACCAGTCAACAGTACTTTCAGTCATAACTTATAAGCCAAATAAGCCCAAACAAACAGGGCGAGAATTATCACATGCAGGAATAGATCGAGTAGGCTGTTGAATTTGATGAAAACGTTAGTGATTTATTTGTCGCCAGTTACACTGTTGAAACCAAGTTTCTGTCAGTAAATCGGTGAGAGTTTTTGTTTCCCAGTATGTATTAACAACTTAACAAGTTACTAGTGTTTTGTTGTGTTTGCGTCAGTCACAGTGAGTGAGCTGGCAACAATGTAACATGGACAACAGTCTGTTTGTTTCGGCTGGAATGATCGTGGATTATTACTGCTGGCTGGTTTGGGGTGAGAGAAAAATACTGTTCTGGTTTATAATTCACGATCGTTTACGACTAAACGAACCGGGTGTTGTATTGTAACGTTACCTAATCTTGATGACCTGAGCCTGACTGCTGTAATTGCTCCGCTCATGTTTCAGTTTTCCTTATGATACAAGGAAAGAAAAGAAAAACAAAGGAGAAGAAAGGAAAGAAAGCTGGAGGAGGTAGCGGAGGTGATGAGTGGAGTATCGTTATTCCCCAACAACCAATAATGTATAATAAAACAACAACAAATAAAAGTGGTGGTGGATGTGGAGGGAGTTGAGCTGCTAACTGCCGGAACACATGGCTTAGGCTGGATAATGCTGCTCCTGCTCCTCCCTGCTCTGCTCTGCTCTGCTGGAAAGACCACGCTGACACTGCCCTCCACATGTGACCGAACCATGGCCATGGGAGGCGTATGCCACAATGCACACCTGCTTCTGCCTGCAGCCTGCCCAACCCAACCATAACCATAACCATAACCATAACCAACCGGGTAAAATCTACTTACTCCTCCAACAACATTGTGTCATGCTGTGTCGTGTTGGGCTTAATACTCCCGTTTAGATCCAAAATTTTTTGGATTTTGGCTTATTGTAGCATTTCGTTTGTATTTGGTAATTAGTGTTTAATTATGGACTAATTAGGTTTAAAAGTTTCATCTCGCAATTTCTCACCCAACTGTGCAATTAGTTTTTTTTTCGTCTACATTTTAGCATGGATTCTGCAGATTCGATGTGAATGGATCTTGCGCAAAGCTGTTCATTTGGTTGGTGTTAGTCTTTGGTTTAACAATTTTGCTGCTAAGAAAAATAATTGGTTTGGTTTGCATTACGCTGGAATGCTCACGCCAATATGGTTTCTCTGTGCTTTCCAGCACAGCAGTTAGTAGAAAGTGACAATTTTGCTGCTAATGTAATAATCATGCATTTTAACCGCAGCTTGAATCTCACGCACAAATTTAAACCTCTCTTTCCATCTCCTCATCATCATCTTGAAAAGCTGGCTGCTCCCCTCCGCACCACTCCAGTGGTAAGTAGTGTAGAGTACTCGCCGTAGGCCTTTATATTTTGGCGGTAGGGCTGCGTGGAGCTGCTGTGCCACACCACAGCAAAGCCAGCCACGGGCAGGCGGCATCTCTTCCAGCTAGGAACTTGGAGGATCGATGCTTTCTTTCCCTCAAAGCAAAACCAGTCAGCACTCGTCCCTACATTTATTTCAGTTCTGTCCAGACGGGAGAGAGAGAGAGAGAGGTCCATTCTGGCTTTTCGGATCCCCAATTCATCCGGATCAATCAATCGGAACCAGCTTGGCAGGCGCAACAAGGAAACTTGGAGACGTTGTTCCCATATCTAGACGATTATTAGGATCTCCCCCCTTCTTGCCATTGCTACTATATATCTTTGATTGAGGGCCGGCCCGTTTGATGCGCGGGACGCAATGGCGCCGCCGTCCCCTTCCTCCGCTCCGGCCAAGAAACGCACCAAGTGGCTGCGAGGCAACAAGAAGGTTCGTGCCTGCATTGCTCCCCTCCCCATTCACCTCTACTCTCCTCCGTCCATGCCCGCAAGATGATTTCGCCTTTGCAATCCCGAGAGGAGAGACCGAGGTGTCAGTCTTGTTCGGCAAGCGCTCGCCTTTCGTCTCCAGATGGCGAGATGCATGGCGTTCGTGATTCAAGGACGGACCCTCGTCCTCGTCCTCTTCCGTGATGCATTCTGTTTGCGGCGTTCGAGGACGGCTTGATTGTCCTTTTGCGCCGGGGGGGGGGGGGGGCATCTTTCCTCCTCGTACGGTTGGTTTCAGTGTTGGGGGTTGAAATCTGCTGATGGCGATGCGTTGATTGCGATGTGCGACAGGTGATCGATAGGCACCTCGGCGAGGCGCGGGCGGCTCTCGCCGCGGCGGCGCAGGACACCGAGGATGGGGACGACGCGGCTGTGGCGGCGCTCGGCCTGGTGACCGCCGCTCTGGAGATGTCGCCGCGGGCCGAGGCGGCGCTGGAGCTCCGGGCGCGGGCGCTCCTCGCGCTCAGGCGCTACCGCGACGTCGCCGACATGCTCCGAGACTACATCCCCAGCTGCGCCAAGTCGTGCTCGGGCGACGACGCCACCACCACCGCCTCGTCCTGCTCGTCTGGCTCCGGTGCAGAGCTCCTGTCCCCGGACCGCGACCGCTTCGACGCCGGCGCCACCCGCTTCCTCTGCTGCCTCGACGTATCCGACCTGAAACGCCGCCTCGTCGCCAGCTTCTCCAGGAGCTCTGGCACCGAGGGCTACCAGTGGAGGTACTTGGTCCTGGGCCAAGCCTGCTTCCACCTCGGCTTGATGGAGGACGCGGTGGTGCTTCTCCAAACCGGCCGCCGTCTGGCCACCGCGGCGTTCCGGCGCGAGAGCGTGTGCCTGTCGGAGGACAGCTTCTCGCCGTCGAACCTGCTGACAGCCAACAACGCCGCGCCCGCCAGCAGAAGGACGTCGTCCTCCAATAAGTCCAGCTCTACAACAGCGTCCGAGGCGGAGTCCGTGTCGCAGCTGCTCGCGCACGTGAAGCTCCTCCTCCGCCGCCGCGCCGCGGCGGTGGCGGCGCTGGACGCCAGCCTCCCCGGCGAGGCCGTGCGGCATTTCAACAAGGTGCTCGACACGCGCCGCAGCGTGCTGCCACACCCCTTCGCCACGGCCTGCCTCGTGGGCCGCGCCGCCGCGTTCCGCTCTGCGGGGCGCCCCGCGGACGCCATCGCGGACTGCAACCGCGCGCTGGCGCTCGACCCGGCCTTCATCCCGGCGCTGCGCGCGCGCGCCGACCTGCTGGAGTCGGTCGGGGCGCTCCCGGACTGCCTCCGGGACCTCGACCACCTCAAGCTCCTGTACGACGCCGCGCTCCGGGACGGCAAGCTGCCGGGCCCGAGCTGGCGGCCGCAGGGCGGCATCCGGTTCGGGGAGATCGGCGGCGCGCACCGCACGCTCACCGCGCGTATCCAGCAGCTCCGCGGCCGCGTCGCAGCCGGCGAGGGGTGCGGCGTGGACTACTACGCCCTCCTCGGGGTGCGGCCCGGGTGCACGCGCTCGGAGCTGGAGCGCGCGCACCTGGTGCTGACGCTGAAGCTGAAGCCCGACCGGTCGGTGTCGTTCGCGGAGAAGCTGGAGCTCGTGGACGAGCACCGCGACCTGGAGGCCGTGCGCGACCAGGCGCGCATGTCGGCGCTGTTCCTGTACCGGATGCTGCAGAAGGGCTATTCGTTCATCATGTCGGCTGTGCTGGACGAGGAGGCTGCGGAGAGGCAGAGGGCCAAGGACGCCGCCGCGGCTGCTGCTTTGGCTGCCATGGCAGAGTCCGAACCAAAGCAGCAAGAAGAAGAAGAAGAAGTGGCGACAATGCCAGAGAAGCCGGTGCCGGTGCCGGAGAGTGTTCCCCTCGCCATTGCAAACGGTGGCAACGTTCTGGTCACCACCAAGCCGGAAGCGATGGCGCCGGTGATTCCAATGCCCAGGACAGTGGTGACTGCAGCGACGCCATTGAGCCCACCGTTCCAGGGCGTGTTCTGCCGCGACATGGCGGTGGTCGGCACCCTGCTGTCCCGTGGCGGGTTCGACCGGCCGATTCCGGTGAAGTGCGAGGCAATGAGCTGCTGATCGTGGATCCAACGATGAACTTGCTGTAGTGGCAGCAGTAGCCAGCATTGTACAGTTCCTAGCAGTGTGGGGGGAAGAAGAAATAAGAGATGAGCAAAATTAGGAAGAAGCGTCAGGGAGATTGAGATTTTGATTGGCTTCGTTTGTCGTGTCAGCAGCAGGTCCTTTTCTTACAGTGCAATGCAGGCTCAGTTTCTCTTCATCGCTTCTCTTGGCCGTGTACTGTAGATGCTCGTTCAGTCCCTCCTTCCTTGGTACTGCAGATGTTGTACAGTTTTATTTTATCAATGTTTCGTTTGTATTTGACAAACTTTTTTTCGATCATGGACTAACTAGGCTCAAAAGATTCGTATCGTGATTTACAATCAAACTGTTTAATTAGTTATTTTTTTACCTACATCTAATACTCTAAACAAGGCCGAAGATTCTGCAGTGCAGTCCTCCTGTAGTTCCGTCCCCATTTATGCACGGCTCTTGGCTCATCCTGTAGTTTTCCTCGTTGTTTGGAATGGATCGAAGAAAAGTGGCGGCGTCAGCATTACAGACATGGCAATGGCAGCATTCAGATTCAGATCTAACCAAGGAGGTTTCTGTAAAGGCTCATGACTCATGAGGCTTGAGAGAGGCAAAGGCAATGGCTACGCAAGGCTGGTAAAAGGCAGATGGACGGAGTGTCAGTCTGTCACACTCACACACATGGCGGATAAGTCCGAGGCAGGCAGCTCTCGCGTCCCATGGCCATGCTTGTGTGACGGAAGATGATGTGAGCCAGCCAGGCAGGCACCACCAGGTCGTCGATGAGATCACGCAGCAGCGACGCACGTCGTCGTCCTCGTCCCCGTCCCCGTCCCCCATGGACCATGGGCCATGGCTCCTGCTCCTCCATGGCTGGAGGAGGCCCTGGCCCCTGGAGGAGGGAAAGTGACCTGACGCTGTGACCCACCTCTCTCCCTCTCTGCACTGTACCTGAGGAGCTCTGCATCATGTGCATATGCGCGGCCGCAAAGTTGCAGTGGTGGTGGTGGAGCATGCCATGGCATGGTATGGCTGTGGCAGCAATGCATTGGCATGGATGCTCGGCGTTCTGCTTCTGCATCTGCTGCACTGCAGCTACAGGGCACAATCAAAACTCTCCACTCTTTCACTTTCGGTCCTCTTGGCTTGGCTGATGGCTGGCCTCATCTCTGAATCATGGCGTTCTCGCCATTCCTTTTTTGTTCTCTTCTATTCTGTTCTGACAACATTGTCAAAACCAACTCTCAATTTTTCCCATTATACGCGGCCACAATCAGAGACGGTGGCGAGGTGTGGCTCACCACGTTATATATTGGTCCCTGACCCTGAAGAAGAAAGGATGATATCTATCTAATCGATGCACATGATGGGCTCTGTCTGCGGAGCATGCATGCCTTTGTGCAGAGCTCCCACCCATCGTAATGACTGACACTGATGAGGTGATCAGTTGCTGATGATGAATGATTACTCTATTTAGGAGAGGAGAGAGGGGGTGGGGAGGCTGCTTCATCTTGCAGGTTCCTGAATCCTGAGACTCAGATGCTGCAGCAGCAGTGACGGCATCCCAGTAGAAGCGGCGGCCCGGCCTAATAACTGAAAATGACGAGGCGTTCTTGGATTGAAGCCTCGGTAGGCGCATGCATGGAACGGATGGATCACAATCAGACCTCAGAGCGAGCAAGAGGATGATGGCCTTCACGTGCTGCCTCATCCCATCTAGGAGTATCCCATGTTCACGAGTTCGTCCATCCATCACCATGATCATGACCTCTCACAGGCTCTCACTTGCTGCCTGTGTGTGGCTCAATAATAGTCTTAAAAACTCTCAACTGAACCTGAAACAGAAGAGGCAGGAAGGGCGTGATCTGGCATTCCTTCCTTCACCTGGCAGCTACAGCAAGTGATTGGAGCCTAGTGACGTCACTAGTACGCTGGCTCCAGAGCTTGCTGTGATATTTCATTTCTGGGATGCATGCAGTGCACATGCACATGCACATGCACCTAAACTAAAGATGATTCTCGTCCATCTGTCCATCATCGTCGAATTATCTTATCTTATGGTTCCCTCGAATCGAATAAACAACAAGACACAAGAGGTGGTTTGTAGCTAAGCTAGCTTTTGGTTGGTCGTCCTAGTAGAATACTAGAATAACTAACGATCTGTATCTTGCGTTCAAAATAATGATCCGTATCGCTTGATGATGTTGATCTGGTAGTATTGCAGCCTTTGACAGGTTTATATGCTTGCTAGCTAGTATAGCGACCCTTAGCTTGATGGTCACCCGAAAGGCTGAAACTGAAGGAGGGTGCGCTTGTGCATGAGCAGAGGAGCTTGGTACAGTTCACAGTCGTTTAATGAACAACGATGGCATAATAAAAAAGACAGGGAGGAATGTGCATGCTAGCTGTTCTTTAGCGAGCAAGAAACCATGACAAAAGAAATAACCTGTCCGTTAAATAATTAAGAAGAAAAACAAAGCTAGTTGTTGGTAGATGATGAGTGCAGCAGGTAGCAAAGCATGTATGCGGGAGTAGAGAGTCCTCCCTGGTTCATATCATCTGTTGGTTTGCTGCAGAGACGATATACTGTAGCAACTTGCAAGTATATATCTCAGTCTCACATGTGACCTCACTCCAAGCAGTCTAGATATGATGCAAACTGAGAGTAGATCCTATCTCTATCTGGCTGGATTTGTCCTCACAAAACAGTTCTGATTTACACGCTAGGTGGGTAGCAAGAAACTATTTCTCTCTCTAATGAACTACGTAGAAGTTGATGAAGTCAGAGGCTTGGGATCCTCTGAGTGATGTTCCCAACCAAAACAAAACAGGTCCTAATACACGTGCAGCTTGCCCTAAGATGACATGCTGTAGGTGATCATCCAATCTGAGTTCTGAGTCCTGAGTTCTGAAGAAGAGACAGCACAACTCCTGGACACACACAGCCAGTCAGCCACACAGGGAGAATTTTTTTTATTATTTTTACAACTTTTTAAACTAATTTTAAATCTAACACTGTTTTTATTTTATTTTTTTTTCAAAAACTAACACTTTTGTCTGCGCCTATTTCCCTAGAGCGGCGAAACGTCTGTGCCGCGCCATGCATGGTGGTGCGGCGAGAGGGATGACGTGGCGACGACCGGGGCGCTGACCGGTGACGTGGCAGGGTCTGCCGCGCCATAGCCCACAGCGCGGCAGTGGCGCGCCAAGGCCCACGACGCGGGAGGACCTGGACGCAGACAGAAGCCGACCAGCCTCAATTGCAATTGAACGGGAGCCGTTGTCGGTGCTGTAAACAACTACAAGTGCTGCCGCGACGCATTGAAACGAATATGAAGCAAATAAATGGAGTCCGTGCGTAAGTTGACAAGTTGCCACATAACATTTTCATTGGTTCATGAGTGCAAGTTTCAGACGACAATATTCGTTCGACATAAGTTCGACATAACCAACTAAGTACCAGGAGTGTAAGGATCCCTCGGACGCCTCTGTCTCTTCAGATTTGTAAGCAACACATTGGGAGTGTAGCCAACGTCGGTGTGGTCGCGTTGCCCATGGTTACAGTTCGTACCCTGCAAGTATATGATATGCATGATTACTTATAATCTTTAAGATTATTAGTTCATAGAGCCTACGTATTTAAAGAAACTACCATTTGTTACTATCTGTGAGGCTCCCTGGTGTGCTTGTGGGGCCTCAAAGGAGGCAAGGGCACATCTGCGTCAGTGTCAGTCAAGAAGTGTGCTCGGTGCGGGTCGTCGTACTCCACCTCAAGAAGGGGTACAACTGGTACTGCATGGGGGGTCATCCTATTACAAATTGATAAACAAAAGGTTAGATTATTCAAATTAACAATATTCAAATTAACATTATGTAGCATTGCAAAATTTAAACTACTTGTTATGCAATACGAATACAATATGAAAGCACATGTATATATTCAAAGTAACATTAACAGACATATTAAACAACTTCACTAGAAAAATAAGCAACTTCTATGTATGGACTTACTATCCACCAGTGTTTCTTATTAAATTATTACAATAGCTTGTCAGAATCTATTAGAGCAACTCATTATAATTTTAACCTAGGGATGAGTAGCCCAGTATAAGATGAATTGATTGAGAACTATCATGTGTGTCATACTTTGTCCTATACTCTATACTAATATGTCTAAAAATATAAGCTGTCTACTTTTTTGCACAATGCTATGATGGACTCATGGCTTTAAGCACTAGACTAGAATGTTGTTGAGATTACTGTAAGAAATATGAGATAGCTTGGACAGTCATAATTTTACCTTCTTGATTACTAAGTTTTACGATTTGTGTATGCTGATAGCAGTACAATATCGTCAATGGTGTGCATGATTTTGAAGGTTCTAGTGCTTTCAATATATGCTTGAGTAAAATGATCATTTGAATTAATGTTTCCATGTAACAAAACAAGTATATAATAATTTAAATCATAAAAACGTAACCAACCAAGAAGGTACATGGGTTTTGATTATGAAAAAATATGCACCAAATTTCACCTTAGCGAGGGTTGAACTGATGAGTCGAGTGGTGGGAGGAGGGGGGTGGGCGCGATGCCAGAGGGGGGGCGCGGCCGGCGACTCGGCTGGGTGGCGGGCGCGGCGTAATGCTGCAGGTAAGCAATGGCGGCGTGGCAAGGCGGCGGTGGTGGGCGGGCGGCGGGGCGGGCGAGGCGGCGCGTCGTCGTGAGTGGAAGCGTGGCGTGGCGCGGCGGGACTGGGCCACGAACCTATAGCCGGCTCTGCCGCGCCATCGATCAGGGCGCATCACTGCCGCGCCAAGATCGGTGGCGCGACAGACCCTGCCATGTCACCGGTCAGCGCCCCGGTCGTTGCCACGTCATCCCTCTCGCCGCGCCATCATGCATAACGCGGCACAAGCGTTTCGCCGCATCAGAAAAATAGGCGCAGGCAAAAGTGTTAGTTTTGAAGAAAAAAAACGGTGTTAAATTTAAAATTAGTTTATAAAAAGTGTTAAAAAAAAAAAAAAAAATCCACAGGGACACAGGCGAGGTGAGGTAGGTGGACTCCAGTTCCTGTCCAGCTCACCACCGAATTAAATTGATGATGATGATGATGATGATGGCCAACCAAGGCAGCTGACCCTGCATCAATTCAATTGATCCAACGACGACGTGGCACGGAGCCGGAAGATAGACGGACAGGTGGCGACAGGACCGTGGCACGTGGCAGTTTGCGGGTACGAGTAATTCATACACTGACGCCGGCCGTCTTCGTCAAGTCTTGTGCTTCAGCTTCACGGCCCACCCCCGTCCCAACGGCAACCATGACCCAACCAGACATCTATCTACTCTTCCATCCATACGATGATGATATTGATACGCATCTTCTTCAAGTGCCCACAATACTTGAACATGAAAACAAATCTGTAATTTGAACTCAAAATTATGAGTTTAGGAAAACCCAAAATGTCAGTGACTGAAAGGGAGTATGTTGATGTTGGTCAGATGAATCATCCACCCCCTTGGATTTCTTTATTTAATCACCACTGCACAACTTTAAACGTGCAGTGCCATCGTGCAGCAAACTTCAAATGTGCATGAATGTTGCAAGGAAAGCATCCTGTACTACATCTGCATCCATTCGTCGAAGAAGCCTTGCACGGCCTTTGCTTTTCTCGGGCACACACAATCATGCCGGACGATCCGGAAATAGCGCGCTTTACTGTGTCCAGCAGCGCACCAAATGCCCAGATTGATGGCATCTTGATAAAGGATATCACAGCATTTAATCAGATCCGTGCATTTACATAAATATTTATTAGCACCAAATTAAAGCCCATACATGTCTGCCCCCAATCACTTTGTATGTAGGAGTATTGTACAACACGACACGAAAAAAAAAAGACTGCAAGGTTTTGCCAGCTTTTCGCTTTCATCTTTTCATCACATCACATGCACGGTGCTTTTAATTTTTCAAAGGCAACGAGCTATTGTCATCAACTTGTACTATAGAGCAAGAGCGCCCCGCTGGCGTCGTTACCTTAGCAATAGCACCCTTGGGAGCGAGGGAGACGACCTTTGCATTGCTTGCACGGGCCTAACCAGAATCATCTATGTTTCAGCACCCTTGATTTGGCAGCGGTCTTCTTAGCCTTCTTTGCAGATTTCTGCTGGTCGCACCTGTCGCACAGCCAGTCACCACCACCACAGCCTTCCACGGGAGGGTTGCAGCAATCGGCGTGCACCCGGACCCCACAGCCGACCTGATTCCCTTCACCGCCCCCGCACATGAGCATCAGCCTTTCCCGGTTGTTTGATCCACAGGCAGAACAGCTCTCGGGTTCGGCATCCATAGCAATAGCATCTTCCTGGTTCTTCAGGAGCTTCTGCAGGGACCTCTCTGCCAGATCGTGCATGTTGAAGAGGACGTGCTTGCTCAAGGGGTGCCCGGGCTTGCACACATACTCCACCAGGTAATCTGCGCTGATGCATGGGATGTTGTGCCGCATGAATTCCTGCACCCACGCGTCCACGCTTGGCATGCCCGCGGATACAACCGCGAAGTCGACACTGGACTTCAAGAACCGTGTGTAAGGTGGGGAGGTTGCTAAGATGGTGCCATCACCAGATCTGATCGTGCGCTTTAGCGTGTCCTGGCACGACAGAAAGAGGAAATCTCAATCAGATGGCAATGAAAACATGTCGCTGTTTCCAAACACAGATAACGAATGGATAAAAACCAGAACTTGCCCGATTAGACTTACCAGTGTTGGAGCAATGCATTCCCCATATATAATGACCTGCATCCCATAGAAAGCGCCATAGCCAGTACGCTGCTTCAGCTGGCGCCACTTCCTTGGAGCATCCAAGCTGATTGTATCACCGATGTTAAGGCCTTGACCGTGCCACTCAAATGGCTCTTCCTCTAAGAACTTGCCAGCCTCATTGCAAGCAGTCAAGTAATCAGGCTTCAGTATCCACCTTTTTTTTAGCAATGAAGGAAACTCACATTCAGATTCCATCAGAACAGAAAAAGGAAGAGTGATTATACAACATTTAAACAGAGTGGAAATTGATTAAAGGCAACCTACTACAGAGTCATAGCAACTATCTAAGACAAATGGTGTTACCTGCCAGCCGCAGCAGCTGCGAAGAATTTTTCAGTTCTGCGCAGCTCAGTGGTGACAAGATGTGTTGCTTGAAAAGACCAGTGATGTGAATCCCTGCAAACTCTGCCTCTCAAGCGTCTAAGTATAGTCCTATACTCTTTTCTCAGTAGGCGATGTCCACTTAAAATAAACCATGTTGGTTCTGGCACATTCAAGGTTCCATAATCATTTCTTTTGATCATACTGTTCTCATCAAGCACAGCTTTGCTACTTTGTAATGCCTTTGTGGTGGATTTGGAACTCTTGCTGTTCTTTCCACATTTTGTATTGGAAGTAAAATTACTACTGACTGGTATGTTCTCCTTGTCATGGTCTGTCGAACCATCCACTAAATCTGCAACCTTTTGTCTTCTGTTGCTTCTAGTTTTAGAACTCTGCATGTCTTTTGACCTCTCTTCCGTGGCATCTTTGCAAAATGATCCAACTGTATCATTCGTCCTACCCTCATCGGTGTTCTGCAGGTCTTTATCCACTGTTACCTTGTTAGCATTTCTAGAACTCTGTACAGCTCTCGCTGGTGAGACAACTTTATCTTCAGATACCAATACCTTCGCAGTCTTGCAAGGCTCACTACTAGATTTGTGGTTTTGGACAGCAGATAGTTTCCTCTTGGCTACAACCTTACGGATTCTATTGTTTGGTACTCTATTTGCTGTACATGTTTCAGGGTCATCTGCGCTTGCACTGCTTGAAAGCCTTTTATAGTTTTCATCACCATTTCCTGGAGGAACTGCCTCATTAAAACTCGAGTTTGATGGCAATGTCTCAGTTTCATCATCAACAGTTGGTGAGTCAGATATATTGACATCAGCAGTCCGAGATCCCTTTGCAACCAAATTACTTGATTTGGAATTTGGTACCGTCCGAGATGAACTTCTTTGATTTTCATCTGCACTTGAAGTGTTTGAAAGCTTTCTGCGGTTCCCCTTCTTGTTTCTCTGCAGAGTCATATTAACAGACTCTGCCTTGGAAACCACTAGTGATTCGTTTGTCTTGCGATTGGGACCGTGAGAGCTGGTTAGAACTTCATTCCTTGATTTGGTGTTCAGGGCTTCTGCAAGAGATGATGGTGTATTTTCGGCAGCATTTGGACTACAACATCCTTCTCTCTGTTGTGCCTCCATGTTTTCATGAGAAGAAACTTTATCATGATTGGGCTTCGAAGGTGCAACCTCACTTTTACTATTTACGAATTCACCAGCAGCTTTACTGTCAACATTGCGAGACCGCTTGGAACCAGCCTTCCTCACTCTGGAAGTTGATACTTTCGAGGGAAATGCTCCATGTTCATCAGTGATCTTGTTAACTGGGACATCTTTAGGATCTTCTCCCAAGTTCTGACAAGAAACCTCTTTATCAGGTTTTGAGCAAGGAGCTGCAGCTTCGATTTTGCTTACCCGCTGAGCATCAGTCATCTCAGCGTCCCTATTCTGGTGAACACCTAAACTTTCTTTTCTAACTTCAGAACTGACAGAAGGGGATATGTTACAGCGCTCCTCAGTTGTTGCCTTGTGCAGTGCTGGGGTCTTTACTACATCAGGTGCCCCCATATTCTTATCGTTAGCAGAATTTTCATGAAGCTTTTCTACTTCAGCAGAGCTTACACGCTTCAAAGATGTTCTCCTATAACTTAACAGGTGGCCTTTACATCCAGACATCTGCTTCTCTGTTGAATTCATAGTTGGACCACTGTTTACATGACCATCAACTTTGGTAGATTCGGTGGGGCTTCTACCCACATTAGAAGCAGCTGCTTCCAATGCACTTTCCTTGCCTGAAAAAGGACTACTTGATATTCCACTCCCCGAGTCTGGGGCTTCATTCGGCGCCTTTGAACTGACTGAAGAAAGAATGCTTTTCCTCCTATGAGCAAGTCCACCGCCAGATCTATCAACATGCTTCGTCACTTTAGGTGATACTGATTTTGAAGATCGCCTTCTAGAATAGCCTAAGGTTTGGTCATTTCTTGATGCTGAATTGCCTTCTAATCTTGGATTAAACCCACACGTGTTTAGGTTTTCTTCAACTGATGACTGAGAAATGTTGGGTTTGGGATCAGGTACATGCCCATCGTCCTTCTGATCTACCTTTCTGCTCAAGTCTTTTGAGTGTAATATTTTCTTGGAGAAATTTTCTTCAGAAGAGATTGACTGAAGATCATTATTGACATTGATCTGACTGGAACCATGGAAACAGTTCCCGTCAGTGTTCTCTATGTTGTCCGCTGGAATAGTGAGTGCAATGCTTTTATGTACACTGGGAGTATTAAGGGTACTAGCCCTGGTGTCAAGTTCCCTTCTGTGATCGTCTTTAGCTTCATCCCTACTGGCCTGATCTGCAGGAGCCTCATCATTCTCACTGTGGTAAATGCGAGAGTGGGTAGATTTAATGGCACCATGATCAACAGATGTTGCAGCACACTTTGTGTCAGGGGCACTTCCTGAGTCAGCTCTGATGTCAGGTGATTTCGTGCTCACGTCGTCTGCTTTCATAATCTGTTCTGGAGTGCCCAAGTGTTTTCCTGTAGCACCCACTACATTGCTAGCAGAGATAGTAGGACCTCCACTGGGTGCATGGACAGCAGAATCAACATGAGATTTGGATCTGATCTCTCTAATAGGTGTCCTGCTGCCAATATGTCTGCTACTTGATGAGCCTCTACCAGCATCTTCTGCTTCATCTTCAGAGTCCTTAGCTTGTGCTTCCATTATCTCTACTTCCAAACCACTGAATGAAACAAATTACCAGAGTTAGATTACATTACATATACTATTATACTATATTAATGTTACTGGCATATAAACACGAGATGATCCTCAGGATATTGAAAGATATGTAAAACAGAAAACATCAAAAGAAAAAGATATTATTATGGTATACTTACCTTTTCGTATAATGATCAACCGGAAGGATTTCCCATGCCTTTAAGCTGCGGCAATAACATATACAATACTTCAGCAGTTCAGCACAAATTTTTTTAAAAAAGTACAACAGCTATTTTTGGGGGTAGGTTGGTTCAATCTTAAATGCATATACCATTCTTCCAGCCACCGGTGATTGACAAGCTTTATATTCACCTGTTTAGCAAGTTCATATTTATCACCTAGCATAGTTCAAAGGAAAAAAATGATCAATAAATGACATTCAGAAAATACTACAGCTGATTGAAAGTAGCAGAATTTTCCGGTTCAAACTTTTCAAGAGAACATTCAGAGGAATCTTAGGTTAATTATTGCATTCTTGTTGAAATTAAGCCTAACCAAAGGCAAGAAACAAATATCAGATTTTATTGCCAATGCAAGTATCTACCAGTAGCCCTCATAAAGCAGCATGTCAGCACTTTTAAAAGAAAAGGGAGACAAAAATAATCAGGAAATTAGCCTCAAAATTGCCAAGTCAATGAATTGAATAGATAGACATACATTCTAGATTTCTAACCTCTAAAGTTTAAAATGTACAGATGTACTAATAAAAGAACATAGGGAGACTAAGAGAGTAAAGTTCAAGGTAAAGTAGTAGTGTAGTATACAAAACTATGAAGAAATACCTTCAAATTTGTAGCAAATGAGATGGGTAATTATGTTTGCTGCCAAAGACTTGGAGAAGTTTGCTCCCATCAAAGAAACCATTTTCTACAATTTGTAGCAATTGGTATCAGACTTAGCCTTAGATAGGAGTGCTTGGAAGACAGCTATTCACGTGCCTGAACCTTGATTGCTTCTGATGGGTTTCAACTCTAGCCTACCCCAACTTGTTTGGGACTTAAAGGCTGTGTTGTTGTTGTTGTTGTTGTGGTATCAGATTCATAATGAGAACTAAAAATTTTGGTATCCAGACTTGATTCTGACAATAAACAATCTAGTGCCAACAAGGAAAGGAGTGAAAATACAAGAAGCATCTGTCGCATGTGAATCTACTCCTATAGGCTATAGCACAGTGAACATGTGTCATTTGGTGAGAATATGGACTTGGAAGATGTTTGGTGTCAGTAAATAGGATTAGCTGTACTAGTAAAGCATGTTAAGAGAGCAACAGAAAAAGAAGTGCAACAGCAAAGACAACAACAAAATAAGCTTCCAACATATGACCTCTTCGTCAAAGAAATCAATAATTAGTGACAGAATGAATAACAAAATAGCTTGACCATGCACTGTTTTTGCATAGAAGCATGGAATAATTGTTAGAGCTCTACCCTCGGAGACATGAGGGATGGTGATCAATGCAGCAATGTTTACCATACATACCATTATGTCATCACGCCAATTCTTCTGGTACCCTGTCAAGCAAATGTGAAGTTTATCGCAACCAGGAATGCCTTTGAAATCTCTGACTGGAGCATATAGTACCTGTCAATTTTTTAAAAAAAAAAAACAATGACCTTCACATCCTCAGACTAATCAGTAGAACATACTAGAATGTGATAGCCCTAAACACAGGTCCTCCACCCAAACACTAATCCACATGGAACAGACGTGTGCATACATTGTTTTCTTATGGGGAAAGGACACTTATGCTTACTGGTACCCCCTGAAAACCACTAGTTTATTGTTTGGAAGGAAAAACACTAGGGCCTGTTCAGATCCCATGAATTGAAACCAATATCTAGAAAGTGCTTCCCGTTTCATTATCAGATTACTTTCCAATTCCTCTAAATTCCTGGGAACCAAACAGAGCCTGAAGGTTAGGACAGCTGTAGCATAGAACGCAGGTAGAGAAGTGAGACTGACACGATCTGCATCAGCCAATTCTCCGAGTTCGAAGCTGTCTTCCACCCACTGATCAACGACGACCTTCTTCCCGGCCTTCCTCGCTGCCACACACACTGGATCATCCTGCATTTATTTTTACTTTTTAATCAAAGGATGCACATGTGAATGAATGAACCGAAACAAAAATCAGCAAACTAGCAACCGAATAAACAACACAATCGCGTTGCATTTAGAAGTAGAATTGGACTGACATATAAGGTGTTGGAAACTATAACGTGGGTGCAGTCTCCGTCCAAACCTCCCACGTGGACGCCGCCACACCGCTCTATCTCCAAGCGATACTGCGAAAACGGGATCAAACCGCGTCAAATCAAACTGGACGAGATCAGCACGCGTATCGAAGGGCGAGCCCGCGGAGCGGATGAGGTTCGGGGGGGCAGCGCGCACCTGGGACGCGGAGACCTGGTCGAAGCCGTGGAGCACGAAGCGGACGCCGGAGAAGAGGTGCGCGTCGGCGTCTTCTTCGGGGCAGTGCGGGGGCATGGCGAGGGCCCTGGCCGGAGCGGAGATTGGGGGCTAGGGTTTGTCTGGGTTCGCCCGGTGATTGATTTGAAAATGGAGGGAGAAGGGAGAGAGCGAGAGGGTGGGACTGGGATGGGAAGGAGGGATCTAGAAATGGGGATGGGGATTTCGCCTCCGCGCTTGGAGGGAAGACACTCTCCCTGCTCGAAATTGAGATTTGGATTTCGCGCGCGCGTCGTCTTCAGTCGCGGGCTACTAGTTGGATTGGACGAGGGGGCGATGGGCCGCACGCAGCGAACGAACTGGCGAATCGCTGGGCTTTGTTTTGATATTAGGAAAATGTTCATTCCATCTCCTTTGAACGATTACCGTATCAAAACCAGACATTTTACTAAAAAAAATTATTCAAATCATCTTCCTACCCAGGTTTAGAGTGGTTTTGAAGGCGATTTTTTGTTGGTTAAAATATTTGGTAAATACTTTATAAAGTTTTAAACCATAGAAAATATCTCTAAGTTTTTAAAAAATTCAATGATTAGAATATGCCAAATCCAAATAAAATATTTTGGGGCTCATGAAAATATGTCTATATGCTTGCAAAAAGTAGATTTAACTTCAGGGAAATGGAAAAGGTATCTAAAAAAATCTAGAAAATTCCTAAAACATTTTAATTGATGCATAAACATGTTTTAAACTCTACTACACAAAATCTTTTGCGAGACGTTTTCAAAATAGCCTCGGAAACAGGCGGGCCGGCTGCCTGCCTCAGTTATTCGTGGCAGGGCAGCCGGCCTAGCAACTGCCTCGGTTAATGCTTAACTGAGGAGGGTAATGTAATATAACCGCCTCGGTTAATGCCTATTAACAGAGACGGGCATTATAACGCAACCGCCTCGTTTTATCCGAGGCGGCCATTATAACGCAACCACCTCGGTTAATGCCTATAAACATTAATCGAGGCGATCGCTTCCAAATAACCGTCTCGGTTATTCAGCATTGCGTTCAGACCTCGAGGCGCGGGCACACAGGAACGGGAGTAGGAGTGGGAGTGGGTCCCGCGTGTCAGTCGCAGTGAGAAAGCACAGATGTGCTGCGCGCTGGGATGATCCGTGTGCTACTCCACGTCAGTGATCCGAAAGTGGGGCTAATGGCCACTCATGGCTCGCCACGCGTGCAGCGGAGCGGAAATAACTCTCCCTCGTCCGTGCCTCTCTTTCTCATTCGTCTCTCGTCCGTCCCTCTCTCTCTCGTCTCTCTCTCCGGTCCCTCTCTTGTCGGTCTCTCCCTCCGGTCCATCCCTCCACACACACCTCCCTCTCCGGCGTGGAGGCAACGAAGGCGGCTGGCGGGGAGGAGGAGGCGCATGGGCCAGCCCCCTCCGGCGGCAGCGGCCACCACACATAGCAGCGGCGCACGGGGAGGCCAGCACCGGCGACAACGGGCCTCCCTCTCCTCCGAGCACGGCACGGCAGCCCCTCCCTCTCCTCCGAGCACGGCGCCCCTTCCATGTCCCTCGTGCATCGACCACCAGATCCTGCCTCCAACGGTCCACCAGCGGCGGATCCTACCACGGGCAACGGCGTGCGTGTGGTACCAGGCTTGGTGGGCTTTTTTTTATTTCGTGAAGTTATCAACCGAGGTGGGCTACTTAACTCAACCGCCTCCGTTAATGACGTTAACCGAGGTGGCTGTCTTATGCCGACCGCCTCAGTTAAGGCCACAATTAACCGTGACCTTTGGACCGAGGCGGTTGGCTTGCCCACCTCGGTTAAGCACTGTTGCCCGTCTCGGTAAAGTTTTCTGTAGTAGTGAAAACTTATCACGATAAAAGACATAATAAGCAACCAGCAGAAATGCATAGCATGAATGCATTCAGCTTTAATGTATGTTGCATTCATTCTAGTTGCATCTCATATATTTTACAATGCAATTTTTTTGAAACACATTTATACACCAACTAGAATATTTCTAGGATTTTCTAGATTTTTGTATATGTCTTTTCCGTTTTCCTATAGCTGAATCTATTTTTAAGCATCTAGAGATACTTTCATGGGATGTGCAGATTTTATTTGGATTTGGTGTATCCCAATCTATCTCTAGAGTTATTTTCATAAAATTCATAAGTGTATAGACATTTTCTTTGGTATTTGCCCGTTTTTTTAGCTAAACAAGGGACAAAAGCACCTTCAAAAACACTTCAAACCTAGGGCAGCGAGGTAATTGAATGGTTCCAAGAGTTTAAGGGGTAAGGTGTACGGTTCTGGAGTTCAAGAAGAAGACCTAACTGTGGTTGTAGTTCAAGGAGGTATAGTAGACTTTTTCGCTTGATATATATGGGGCGAGAAGGCCCATCAACGGTATTCCCCTGAGGTGGAGGCAAGAGAGACACTGGGTTTGATTCGCTCCTAGCCCGAAGTTGTCCAGCGCAAACAACGTCCATATGCACTGTCCGATTTTAAGTATTTAGAGTGTGTTTGGCTGGTGGTTTGACAGGCACAGGCAGATTCCTCGCCATGCATCTATCTATCTATAAATAAATAAATATAATCCCTACAACTAAAAATTAGCGATGGGAATAGTTGATGGACGTGCGAAAAAACGCACGCTCCTGCGCTACCACGCCTGGATGCCTCGCCATCTGTGTCCTGCATGGGCTGAAGGGCTAAAAGCTTTATGAAAGAGATGTGAGGTACAATGAAGAAGCTATCAATCTGAAAATAAGATAGTGCATATATTTTTCTAGATCTTGTGAAATTTATATAGAGAATAAATATGCCTCCAAATGACGTGAGACTAACTTTGTTCAGTTGATGTTGTCATTAACATGTTAAAAATATGTTCACTATCGCTATATTTATCGGTAAAAAAAACATTGCTATATTTAACTATTACTAACTAAAGTCATCATCGTTTGCAATAATAATACCTATAATTTAATTATCTATATATTGCTAATGGTCAATTTTACCACAGACGCTTGAGTGGATACTTTATTTTAAAGCATATGTTTACGTGAAATAGACATAAGCCACATATATTTATACGGTGAGTATAACATACTTTGTTTTAATGTTTTGTGAGAGATTTTTTAAGGCACGCAGTATTACTCATGTGACAGACACTAATATTTACATATATACTACACAGGATGGTATGGAGATATGGCGAAACTTATTCGTGGATTTATTTGGCGTAAAAAAAAGATATCGGAGATTTCTTTCTGCCGATATAAAATATTATTTTAGTCGCGTCATGGAAAGATCTATACAGTACAGTTTGCGAGCTTGCGACACTACGCTCTCCGTGATCTTTGCTTTTTGGATTAAATATCACTATAACATCGGTATTTAATTTTACAGTATTGTTATCTTATCGTGTGATCCATATGTTTTTAATAAAAAAATTTAGTTGTCTCGTAGCGACGGGCACGAACCTACTAAAAGGCCATGTTTAGTTCGGCCGAGTTGGGGACGCCGGATTCACTGTAGTGTTTCGTTTGTATTTGGTAATAATTGTCCAATCGTTGATTAATTAGGCTTAAAACGTTCGTCTCGTAAAGTACAACCAAACTGTGTAATTAGTTTTTGATTTCGTCAACATTTAATACTCTATGCATGTACCACAAGTTTGATGTGACGGGAAATCTTCTTTTTACACAGTGTCAAAGTTTGGATTTGGGATAAACTAAACATGGCCAAAATCTCTAATTTTGGTGATCGTAAACCTGTTCATCCACAGTGATCCATCCCAGGCCGTCCGATCCTGCCTCCCCACGCCGGATGCCGGCCACGCCCGCGCCCACGCGGCGCCGCCCCTCCTGCTTCCCTCGGCCGTATCCCCTTCTCAGTCCCTCCCGATGGACAGCAAAGCTTAAGCTTCGGCTCGGCGCATCGACAACCCCAAAGGGCGGCCGCCTCCGCATGCTGCACGCGTCCGGGCCGGTGCCGTCGCGGCTGTGCTGCGCAGGCGCATGAGCGGCCAACGCGGCGGCCTCCTCCTCGCGTTGCACGCGGCTGGGCCGGCGGCGTCCCAGCTGTGCGCCTCAGGCGCACGAGCGCCCACCGGCACGGCGACGTGCAGCCGAGCGTGCCGCAGCCGCACCAAGGCCCGGCGGTGGCCGGCTCCCGGCACGCCGCGCTGCAGGCCAGCCCTGCCGGTGGCCGCGGACGCGATTGCCCCACCCCTGCCGAGGTCGCTCCGCCGCTGCTGCGCACGACGACGGTCGCCGTCCCGTTCTCCGTCTAGCGCCGACTCCGCCTCTCCCTCGCGTCACCCTCCGTCTCTTCGTCGGGCGTCCCCTCTACCTTCGCCTCTCCTTTCACGCTGCCTTCCAGGTCGGCATGAACGCCAGCCACCATGTGTTCGCTGAAATGCTCTTGAGGTAATATATGATGCAGTCCTGGTTTCTCCTCGATTATTGAGTGTGTTTGCCAAAGATTTGACTGCTGCCTTGCATTTCCTTTAGCAGTGGACAGAGATCTTTGGTTATTAACCATCAGTGAATCATCTGCTGGAGCCAGTCAGTCCTGCAGTGGCAGCGGCAGCGCCTAAGGCCCTCTCGCACGGCAAGTGGAGCACCAGCGTCCCCATCGAGCTTCTTCTGTATATGTGCATTTGTATTTATTTTTTGGTTACTCCTTTACTTTGTGTTAATTTTGGATACTACCTAGATTATAAACTATGGTGGCTGCTCCTTGATTGGGTGACACTGCAAGGAAAAACACCTACAATGTCGTACTTTTCCATGCTGCAAAAAGGAGAAAATGCATAATCTTCTATGCTCGTCGACTGCCCATTATTTATTTGGTACCCTTTTCCTGTCATTACTTAACAAACTAATTTTAGCTTTAGCATTAATGAGAAGTGCGTGGAGTTGAACTTAACATCCTGGATTTTTATTCGGTTGATTTAACTGTTTCAAAAATTTGGATGCAGGGATGGCCCTTTTACAGATGACCATTTTCCAAGGTTTAGCAGTGACCATTTTTAGCAGACTGATACAGTATATACATATCCAGGGA